TTTTTTTTTCTCGATACCCTGATGCCAACCAACTTGCCCAAAGGGAAACATTAATGGGTATTGCAATGGATCATAACAACCAAAATAATATTGAATTCTATGTGTGAGGCCACCTTTACAATGAACATGAATATCACGATTACAGGGTTCTTTATTACCACTACCATCTACCCATAAAGCGGCCACCTCTGATTCTGTGGGCTGATTATAAGTTCTCTTATCTAACCCTGGAACAGAACACAAAACTATGTGGTACTCATCTAAGTTGGCGATATTTTTTAGGCCCTTGAAAAACCTAGAATACGGATTGTCTTCCAGAATGTTAATAATTTTTTCTGTTATATTTTCAGTAAGCCTAGGACAGGCCATCAAACGACTGGACAACTGATTTTCAGTATCATGGAAATATAGCTGCAAATTATTTGATGATTCCAAATCGTTCAAAATATGATACATTTGTCCCTGTATTCTAAAAGTATAGACACCTTGATTGCGCTGACTTAGCTCTTTATCATAACGCACTCCGAGCGACGTGAAGGCAAACTGATTATTTATCGTTCGAATACAAGCTCTAAAAAATTGTGCCTCGGAAGTATTTCATAAAAGAAGATACTTCAAAAGATGAGGTATCGGATGAGAGGCCAATTTTATAGTGCCTTCAGAACAACATTTGATGGTTTCGTAAACGTTTTTTTTTCGCACCGCAATACCTGCAATCAGGCTGTGTACGCAGCGTATATGCACTTGTAGGCACCCTCTCTAAAAAACGACGGTCGTCATTGGGCCTGGCAGCTAATAAATGTAAAAGTAGAATGAATTAACAAATTGAACGTTCTGAAAATAAGAGCCTGAAATAAACAAATGGCAAGACATGAAAGCTACATGTGAGACCTGTATTACCGCCACGACTTGTTGAAGTGGAATCATGCACGCTACCACGGTGTGCGGAAATGTCCCCATCACCAGCAGTGCCATGTAAAACATTGGGAATGGGATTGTCACATGCGCGTGACAGCATGGATTGCTTGTGAACACAGGGCCGCTCATCAGATGTTTCCGGACGCTTCGCACCAACACAAATTTTTGGGTATTCACATTCTGCGCAGTATGATTAACGCAACTTTATGGTAGACCCAATAAATCAGTCCATACCACGTCTGACCAAAAATTCCAAAGCAGCAATCCAACAAGAGTAACTGACATGTGCCTGATTCTACTGCGCCAATGGCAGGATCTCCGCATGTGGTTTCTTGTGTACATTGATGTGGCCCAACAGGTTCATCCAAGAAGCTCGTTGAGGCCAACAAGCCGGGTGCACCTAAAAACAAACGCAGCAATTGACACACGAAAAATAAAATTAAGTTTCTTTAAACACAACACATATCCTAAAAAAGACATGAAACACATAATTACAAATAGGTGAAGCAAGAAAAAATACGAAAAAGCTCATCAGCAAACAAAAACAACACTACAACAAATATATAAATCGTAATAACATCTACCACCGTTGAAAATTAACCGGCAATAAGAAAGTACTACATGCCCTAGGCATCAATTAGAATGTACCTGCACGCGTGATTGAACGACACATACTTGTTGAAGATACGTCATCCGCACCTGACCTCTACGATTTCTTAGCCACCCATCTCTGTAGAGCAGTTTCTCTTTCACGGCGGTACGCAGGAAGTATCGGCGTGTTCTAGGCTACTCCACTAACGTGCAATGGCACATTCGTGTCCGATAAGACAAAAACTAAAAAAAAAACATAAAACACAATGTGAAGTTGAGAGACATTTTGAATTTCCCAAAAGCAAGAAAAGCAGTGCACATTTTATTAAAAGAAAGCAGCGCCGCACGATGAATAAGAATGCACCTGAACGCATTACGGGACGACGAACACTCGTCGAAGAATTGGAAGCCGCAGCGGACAATTTAGACTTCTTATCCCTCCACCTTTGTAAACCATCATCTCTCTGGCGTTTTTTTTGAGAGCAACATCGTTTCCTGTTTGCGATTCTCCTCCGCAGTGCAAGGGCATATCTTCATCAGCTGATATGGTACTAAAATACGAAAAACAAAAGATCAAGGTACGGTGATGCATTTCCAGCAGTAAGCATCAACAGTATAGAACAACACAAGCAAAAGAATTACAAAAACACACAGCGTGCGACAGGAAAACAAAAGAACACAACACCAGAGAAAAAAACACGCAAACCCCGTCAATTAATAAAAAATGCCCAAAAAAAACCGTCAAGTGTAAACGCACAAATTGGCCTTAAACTTCAGCTTGTTTTTAGTGCAAAATTTTCCATACCCGATCTATTTCGTCACTGAGCGAAAAATGCCGCCGGTCGGTTTCCTCACAACAACGCAGCAGTCATCCCAAAAATATTATCACGCGGGCAAAAAAATTGAGGGATGTATAGAGCGAGAAAGGCACAAAAAGAAGAGTCAAACAAAATCTAAACAAAATCTAGTGAAGTCTAATCAGTACGGAGACGTTTAAGACATAATAGAGAAGACGTACGATGTCCCAAATTTTTTGGGAGGAAATCACGCAAAAGCTACTGCACCAAATAAGAAGGAGGCGAAATTACTCGTGTAACCCATAAAACCAGAATAAACAGGGGCGCTTCAGTCAGAAGAGCAAAATACATAAAGGAAAGGTAATTTACACAATTGTCCACCCAAAATTGTGTCACTCTTCTTTTCAAATTGAG